TGCGCGAACGCAGCCTACTTAGTAATATGCATTTCTCCATTGTACATAGACATGCACTTGTGCGCACGTGCAGAGTAAGTACATAATAAAGTCAAACGATCTGTACATTTTTTTTCCTGAAGTGCTGTCATTTAAAAAAAAACCGAATTTCTGCAGAATTGGGCCCATTTTTCAAAAACCATTCATCCGGACGATCTTTGGAAAATGCAATTCGTTGAAATCTCACAACCGTTTGAGCAGCTCCGCACGTACATGTACATGCACATTACCACTCCACAGTCAATTGACTCAGTTTTTAAAAAAATGTGACTCGTGCTGGTTCGTTGGAAGAGCCTACCAATATGTTTTTATTCCTCCATGTGATATATGAGCAAGTAACATTAAAAACATCCGTACATGAACTCGCTTTTGGTGGTGCCACATCATTATATTTTCAAAAGAAGAGAGTTTAACTTCAAAATAAATTTGTCGAGTTCAATCCTAAAACTGAAAAAATGAGGTTTAAATTTCTGTCGGCAAACTGCGAATCCTGATCTCCGCTGCCTTACAGGTGATTCTGTTACAACGTCCTGTGGTCCGATGATCCATGGACTTTTGCTAGAAAATTTACAGGAGCTGCTCCTTGAACTCCAAAAATGATCATTATTTTTTGGATTTTTTTTTTCAAAACAGTTAAATCAAAATGTGAAATAAATCAATGGATTGGAACCAGTAAATAACAATCACCCAAAAACCCAACCTCGCTAATTTCTAAATATTACTGCAAATGCAAATCCTACTCACCCCTTCAAACACCCCCCTCTATATTTTACGAATTTCAAGCGTTATGTGGACTAAATTGCCGAACAAGTTAAAAGTCGGAAAATTCACCCTGGCACACCCCCCAAAGAAAATGCCTTCGCTACGCTGCTGGGCGTGATACCTGCCATTTGCGAGAAGGGATGTTATTTACCTGATGCCGAGTTATCCAGATTGAGATAAAATTTGTCGGCCGACGACTGTCAAAAACCACGAAACCAGAAATCAAGTCTTGTTCAGCGTTTGGACGTCTGCTCTTCCACTAAGCACGCCAGTGCTAGTCACGCCACATCTACTGGCCAATGTTCGCAGGTACATGTATATGCCAACTCGTACGCACCATGGTACCAACTCGTACACCTACCAACTCGTACGCGTACGTCAACCATCTCGTACGCCGACGAACTCGTACGCCGTGTACTTGCATGCGTAGTGCGATCATGTACTAGGAATAAGCCTTTTGGGCTTTTTGCAAATGTACAATAACATTGAGACTGAAAGCTTTTTGATACGCAAGATTTATGAAGCGAGAGTTCAGAGAAAATTGTAGGTTTTATTTCCAAGCGACCTGGACCAACGAAAAAAAGAGGGAACTGCAATTTTGAAATAATTTTGTTTTTTTTAATCTTTTTTTGTGAGCTTTTTTGGGTGGTATTATTACAACTATAATTTTCAAATTTATAGTTTTGTCGGTCTTTTCACGAACTTAAGGGACGAATTTTTAATATCAATAGAATAAGACTGTTATAGAAAATTGCATTTGAAGTGGGTCTTTCTTTCAAATGCTTGTTTCCCAATATTTAGTATGCCTTTGACTTTAGCAATGCTTTTGTATGAAAGAGGGGACCTTAATGACAAAAAATTTAAAGAATAGAAGTAAATCAAAATGGTTTATTTTGTAAACAAAAAAATTGTGTCACTTTTGTCTATTTGGGAAAACGTGTGCTATTTTGCCAGGTGCAAAATTGTTACATTTCCAGAGTAAAATTCGTCTCTTCATGAAAGGAGCTTGCCCATGAATTTGCCCTTTATTGCTAACGCTATATCTATGGAAAAAAATTGCCTTTTCGTGAAAACGCAAAGCGCTGTCACGGTTTAGTTGATCTTTAAAAAAATTATTACACCAAGTTGTAGGCATCGCATAGCCTATCAAGTTAATTTTGCAAAAAAAACCCAGAAATTTGAAAAAAAATCATGATTTGGGGCCAAAGTGTCTCTTTGTGAAAACGGTGACGATTTGTTCAACTAGAAGTTCACATTTCACATTTCCAGCAGAACTTGTCTGAGTCCTGGATGTAGTTCCAAAGTTGAACAATATAAAGGAGGTAGTTTTTCATTTTTTCAGGAACACAATGAATGCAGAGTAGGTGACGTAATGAAACTACTTCTCAACAAGTCTCCGATGCTAGACTGTGATGTGCGAATATAGGATTTTAATTAAAAATAAATGTCCCTATCGCATATAACAGTACATTTTGAAAGTATTTCTCAATACACTCGAACACGAGCGTTTTGTGTACTTGTTGGCTTGCGTACGAGTTGGTCGGTGCACCAGTTGACCAATTCGCGTACGAGTTGGTGGGTGTCACGAGTTCGCGTGTTGTAGGGATTTCCCAACGTGTGAGTACGTCCATGGCCAGGCGCAGACCACTACTTACATATGTACGCAGAAGTTTTGTTGCGCACCCTCACAATTCCTTCGCAACTTTTGACCCACTTTGAGCGTTGCATTGACCACTTGGTGGCGCTCTTGCGGAAAGCTGATCTTACTGTGGTCTAGACCGTACCTGTACGTGCACTATGCATATAGGTCTACACCAAGTCTACACGTACATGTACGTCAAACTTATGTCGTGTATTGTCGGCCTTGTCACTACCGAAAGTCACTGAAACAACTGATGCTAGCAATACGCCTGTTTCTTTGCTACTCATAGTTTGTATGTAGGCCTGTTATTAAGTTTTAATTCCCGCTCTGCAGCAGGCAGCATGTTTGGTGGTGGGAGAAAGAAGAAGGGCGGTGCCGATGATGCAAAACAGCATCAATCACAAGTAAGCATGGTGAGTAACCATGGTATCTATCTATTGGTTTCCAAAATTCCATAAAGATAGGCGAAGGCCTACATGTACTGCTACTACTAGTGGCTAAATTTACGGTAACCAGGTAACACCACTTCCAAATTTGAGTTGAGGCACTATAGTCTGTACACATGGTACAATAAACACTCTTCCTCCCCAAAATGTGGAAAATCCAGCCAATGTCAAAACAAACATGCAAAGAACTTGTACGTAGTGTTGGACAGATACAAACATTTTAAGAAGCTTGAAAATTGAAACAAAACTTGTCCAAAAAATAAATGTTTCCCTCCTACCGTGGTAGGGTTACGTGAAGCTGTCTATGGGCTAGTTCTCTTTTCTTTTTTTAAATTCATATTACTAAGACTGCAATCCTGAAGGAATTTGGTAAAGTAGGTTGAGTGTTAATCTAACCGTTACATCCGTACATGTACGTGTAGCCCAGTGGAGCAATGAAAGACACCATAAATCACTTAATATTAATTATTCAAATGTAGGCACAAAACTGTCATGAGGCCTGATTCCATGTGTCCATGATCCATGCATACCCTCAAATTTGTTTGTCAACATTACTATACTGAATGCCATATTACACATATACGGTACATGTGCATCCCATCACAGAGTTCTGGCCTTGTGTATACGGTACAGGTGCATGTACATGTAAGTGTTATAAAATTCTAGACACACTTTGCCCAGTGAAGTAATATCAATTGATTTTTTCGGAATGATTTATGCATCTTTTATTATTAGAATTCGGACCTGTTTGATTTATCTCAACTGAGGAGCTTAGCAGGCATGCCACAGTCAGGTGTTGATGAAGATGACTTCGCCTTAGAGGCTGAGCTGGTAGCATTAATGGCTGATGATGGATCAGTAGGACCATCAAGGTCTACCGCAAGGACTAGAGGTAAAGTGTTGATTTAAGGCTGGTTAAAACTTACTGAAAACAAAAATAAATGTACGGTATATTGGAAGTCATGTTTTGCACTATGTGTTCGAGCAAAATACAATTTTGTTCAACATTTGTGACTTTAGATATTTGATTTGTGTTTCGTTTTCATTCAGAATGCAAACTGGCCTTGGCTAGTTTGTGTACTTCTTGTCAATGGTGTGTTGTAGATAGCTCAATGGTATTAAAGATTTCCTGTTCTGACGATACATTTTGCATCATTAGGTCAGATACCTGTACAAGTAGGTTAGGAACTCATGTAACACCAAAAGATAAAAACTGCACTTGTCCTACCAATTGACCTCCTTCTTGATTTATTCAGAGCTTAAATAGCTGCTCAATGTACTGTACATTGAGCAGAAACCCCAAAGACAAATGGTATACGTATGAGTTCACTAATCTCTCTCTCTGGGGTGCTACATTATTGAAAGCTTGCATAAAGAATGATGAATTTGAATGTTTTGAAATACTGTCACATTAAAAGAAGTCTTTCAAAGTGTGATCTTGCCTCAAAATGAAGGGCAGGACGTTCATTATATTAACGATGTAGACCTTTACTTACCCTCTTTTTTCTTGTCATTCTACTTGTTCTCCAATTGCATTGTATTTCTATTTATCATGCAAGTGAAGCTTCATGGGAACAAGTACGTGTACATGTACATGTATATATTCTCCTCCTACTCAACTTCTTTCCTGACTGACATACTGACTTGACTTACAGTGTTCTAAGATGTAATGTGTGGTACTACCCAGCACTTTGGCAATACTTGCTACTCAGCTTCTGTTATTTCAGTGCATACATGTACATGTACTGGGTACGTACACCTACATTAATACTGTATGTTTGTATCACTGATTGGACTAAAATTTATGTATGAAGTGAATATTTATTGCATCATAACGAGGACTCTGTTCATGGATCTTTCAGTGCGACCATCTCAGATTGATAATCTGGATATTGAAGTGAAGGAAGGCAAGGAAGATGAAGTCACTGAAGAAGACCTAGACAACCCTGATTATCTGGTAAATATGACCTTGTCCTTCTCTTTGCAAACTTGATCCTCATCAATCTTGGTAGCATTTCCCCCACTTTCCGCCTCTGGTGACCTCAGTTGCAATCCCACTTAGTGCATCAGAGAGTTTCTTGGGTGTTACATGTGTGGTCAATGTCCATGTATTTAACCTCACAGAGTGTTCATTACCTCACTCTACTGGTATGTCTAAGGTTTTTCGGTTACATTGTATTATTTCCTTTCAGGCTTGACATGTCTCATGTCTCATGCATCAAAGATTTAAATATTCCAACCAAGACATTCTGTGAATGCTACATGTACCTTATGCCAATGATCTTGCACAGGGTGATTATATATTATCATTATTTCTACCGAGTATATTTGAAGCTGTACTTATCCCTATATGATTTGCTGCTGTCACACACAATATGGAATATGCAGAATTAACTTCTTGGAACGGAAACAACTTCCTCAAAGTGTAAGTAAATTCTCCTGGAAAAACTGTCAAAAAAGAATGGAAACCTTTCTGTCACAGCCGAATAGTAAACTCTTAACTGACCTTTTCAACTTTGTTAGTTTTAACCCCCAAGAAACATGGCTGTTTTGGCCCAAATCACTCGATCATGCCTTTCTTGATTTTTTGTCATTTTGATCATTACCACTGTGAAGCTTGAACTCAGTCAGACATATCAGTGTTTGATTTAGCGGTGGTCCGTTGGCCAAATAACATTTGAAATTGCCTCTGGCCAGCTGAGAAGCCCCCTAGATGGCCTGGCTGGCTGGCTGATACAGTTGCAATAAAGAGATCCACTTCCCCATCCAATAAACAAGGCCCAATTTTTTCCGTTATTCAACCTCAAATTCACTTTTTTTGTGGTGTTGTTTTCTAGCACACCATCATCTTCACGCCAAATACGGCCAGACCAGCCCAGCTGGCAGTACATACATATACCCTGTGAGGCATGCATGCAGTTGGCTTCCAAAAATTTGCAATACATAAATGTATGTGTATTTGCTTCTGCAACTCAACATTCAGTGGACAATTAAAACGCTGCAGCACATGCCATGCTGTGGCGTGGCGGCTATTCAGCCCAGCCCAACGAAATGTGCAGCAGCAACCCAGCCGGCACCTGCATAGATTGGCTTTGGCCATGTCCGAAATGGGCTTAATCTATGGGCTAGCTCAGTCAGTGACAAATAGTCAACTAATGGTCAATTTTGACTGGTATCCTACATGTATGCATTATTAATATAAACATATCGGGCATCAGGGAAAATTACCAGTGGTTAACACATTGCAACTGATCAAACTTGCCCTATTTTGTCTGCAGTTTTTTCCTAGTTTTGGATCACAAACACACGCATGCAATAGACTCAACTACACCTGCATAATTGGTTTTTATGTGACGTAATGGGTCAGTCAACTTTGTGGTATGGGGGATGTGGTTGGTGAACTCGTGCTACACATATACTAGTGCAGTCAAAAAAGATGCATCAAAATTTAAACAAAACAAGTCCTCGTTTTTAAATTCACTTGAATTTGTAGAAAATTATTTCCTTTAAATTAAGAAATGCTTTGTCAGAATATCTGCATATTTAGGATGTTTTGTTTTAAGAAATTTTGAGAGTGATTTCTGGGTTATCAAGTATACAAACAATTTTCAGAAGTACATGTAGGAGTTGTGGATGTGCTTCAAAACTCTCTAAGGTCAAAATAAACTACGAGAAATTTACTGTAAATCAAACTACTGATAATATAGCTTAGTTTTTCTCAGATTCTTGATCAAAGCCAGATGAAATGTCTGCGGGCCAGCTAAAACCTACCGTAGGCCAGCTGGCCATGCTAGCCAATCAAAAAAAAGTTAAGGGCAAACACTGGGTGTGGTTTTGTTGTTATGGTTATTTGAAATTCTAGGCTACGTGTACATGTACATGTACCACGCTGCATGCATTGAGCACTGCAGTGGAAAAAGTATGGGCGCTGTGCAAGGACGATATGTTCGATTTTCACAACATTTGTGTCAAAATGACTGCAAAGAATTCCTTTAAAAATTCCTAGAGGTGCAGCTCTTAAAAACTGCACTGTGATAATATTCGGAAAAATGTCGGGGGGAGGGGATTCTGCCCGTGGCTCTTTTTAAGATTAATCAACAAATTTGTTTCAAAATGTGTTGCAGTGGCACTGCCTCCATGCACAGATGCAAGCAGTTCTGACAAAATGGTTGATCAGCAGATAGAGGTCATGCATGAATGTGTGAAAACTTCACATGAGCCAATCCCAGTGATACAAAACTCTTACCCTCTGAGGATGTGTTAACGCATAACCTCTGTGTAGCTTCTGTATTCACATTTCTATTGCTATTCCATGCATTTAATAATTTACATACTGTAGACTAATTAGGGAATCAAGGTTAATACACAAGTTCACACAGTACTGCTTACTGCCCACTGCACA